GGGGGGGATGACATGCGGAGAAGGAGCCACAGGTTGGATTCAAACCTGGACTGCTCGCTCTTGAGGACTTAAGCTTCTGTACATGGGGTTTGTTGGCTCTTTGCTAACACTGTACATTTCTCTGTTGTGGGATGAATAATGGTTTATCTGATCTCAGATGCTTACCTGGTATCCTGTGTAACATTTAAGAGTCCTCATTGCAGCCTCCTTGATTTCGTTTTTTTCTTCGAAGGCTCCTTGCGGCTCGTCTCTGCTTCTCTCGCCCTCGTCTTCACTGACTTTCTTCAGCTTCACTGAAACATATCGGCAAAAAAATCAAGCTAGATTGGAAAACTTTCCTCAAAGCTCTGTGCATTCATTTTCATATCCGAACACTTTGATCATTTATTCACACCAAGCTGGATCAAAGTTTATTTGTGGGTTTGTTATCTTTGTTACCTTTACATCAATGCCACTGGATAACGTCTGATTTAAAAAATGTGGCTGGACTTCTGTGTAAGTGTGCAACCACTATATTGGACACATTAAATAAGACATTTTCTATTTATCATGAGCCTCACCAGGTTTTAAATGTCGGGGGTCCTGTGCTTTCACTGTGACCTGTTGGTGAAAGTGAAGGCGGAGTCCCAGCAGGAGTCCAGCTACAATGCATGATAATTAGCCTTCTGTTGTGATCTGGTTTCTGTCTCAGGCTCTCTGGACCGTGACCTGTGACCTGGTCCCACAGCCAGACAACAATCCCTCTCCGCTTGAGGCCAAACAGCCCGTCAATCAGCCTTCTTTTTATAACAGCCCGGTTCCCTGTAAAGATCAGCGGCCGATGAATGCTTCAAACAGAATGCTGGGGAGCGGAGAGACACAGAGCAATCAACGCTGGATGTTAGGAAACAAGAAATCTTTTACAGGGTTTTTAAAATGAGAAAACAGAGAGGCCGAGTAAATGAGGAAGGTATTAAGAAAATAGGTAAAGAGAGGTGACGTTGTTAGTCATGGGTCAAATGGCTGCTAGAAGCATGTTATTAAGAACAGCACCACAGAAAAGTGGAGAAAATGTAACCCCCTGAAACTGCTATTGATAAAGTTGCATGGTAAATATATGTATGAAAAAATGATATAACGTCGACTAATATTACGATCCTGTTTGTAAAGTTAAGCTTACCGTATACAGTAGTTCATCTTTTTCTGAAATACAGAGCTTGTCAGTAATTGATACCAGGGTTTTTCAGGAGTTTTCTGCAAGTGTGAAAGCGCTCAGATACTTCTCCCTGGTGCGCTGAAATTAGCTACAAATGTGAGTTTTGTGCAAAGGAAGAAGAAGATAATAGATTTATTTTACGATGCCCAGCTGTCAGGAGAGCTTTGGAAACATCTATTGCAAATCATATGAATTGTACAATTTATTAGATGCCTAAAGACACTGTTTTATTGTATGAAAATAACAAAAAGACTTGAAACAGACTATTAACCTCTTCATACAACTTTGTACATTTAATATCCATCATTTAAAATTCATTAAATCTCACCGACGCTTCACTGTATTCATCACCGAGTGTAAACATTTTATTAAGACTTTAAATTGAATTAACAAGAAGAAATCTATAGCCTACATACTGATGACCTGATTCAAGATGTATTTAAAGACAAAGACAATATTTTTATTTGGTTTATTGATGATTTGTAAACAGGTCTTCGTCTGTTTCCTCATCAGTTTTATTTTAATGTGATCTATCCTTATTTACAACTACACGATTTCTCCTGATAGTTATGACTTCTCATGAGAATGTTTTTGTTCATTGTCCTGAGTGATGATTTCAATAAAGTTTATATTAAGGGGGGAAATAAAAGAGCGGTCAATTTCTGCCTGGCAACCACACAATGGTCGTTTCCACACTTTTGTATTTTGTTTGATTTATTGTGCAACATTAAAAAACATTGATTGGTGAGCTTTAGGCTCTAAAGTCTGCCAGTCCCTCTAAAGGTTTGAGGTCCTGGCAGACTTAAAGGTGAGGAGGATAGCTGTTTCTCAATGTTTGATTAATTCATTGAGATAATATATCTATGGAGCAAACACTCACCTGGCTGTAGCAACATGGCTGAAGATATGAGCCACAGGAGGAAAAGAAGAAAAGAAAAGTAGCCTCCTTAAACTTCATAATTTTCCATTTAATTACCTCCCACAGTGGACATTTTTTTCTTCAGAACAAGTTATGAATATGAGTTTTGTTTTTTATGTAAACAATCTGCAGGCCTTAACCAGAGACTGTTAATATCATATTAACCTATGGCCTTAACTCAATTATCAAACCAGCCCACGTCTTTCTCTGACAAATCTCGCGAGTGTTTGTTGAGCCGTGTCCTGAGCTGTAGATGTTCTTCTCAGATCTGACAGCAGATGGAGTCAGAGGTGCAGTGAGAAACTATGGAGTGATCAACTTATTCTTGCAATATTATATATATATATATATTATATATACATAAACAGGAAGTGGAAACTCAGCTCCTCTTTGTATTCGTGTTTTAATTCGTCATTTTTGTTCACTTCACAAGTAAAATGAAGATTTGGGGGAAGAAACTGAAAAGTTAGAAACTCAACATCAGAAATGTGTAGGGCCTATTGTTTTGAATGTGTGAAAACTAAAGTATGTACAGGCTGTTTCAGAGTCAGCAGCTTTTTTCATATTAATAATTCAAGGATTCTCTCTCCCTCTAATATGAAGATCTGAAGGCTTCCCTGCTCAATTATGATTTTTAACAGTTAGTTGGAACAAAAAGCAGCTTTATGAAGCCTTGCATTGATACTAATATGAAGATCTTTTAGTTGTCTGTGTGAGGATTTAACCCGGTGTGGAGCCGCATCACAGCTTCACAGAGACTGAACAAACTGGTGAAAAAGAAGAAGAAGGCCAGCTCGGTTTTGGGCAGCCCTCTCCTCTCGACCCTGTGGAGGTGGTGGGAGACAGGAGGAGGACGGCGAAGCTGTTATCTCTCATGGTCAACATTTCCCACCCCCTTCATGGCACTGGAACAGCACTGGGCAGCTCCGTCAGTGACAGGCTGCTCCATGAAGGAGAGATACCAAAAGTCCTTCCTCCCAGTCAGACATTTTAGTCAAGCTTGCTCCCGGTACAACAGTTAAGAACACTCCTAAATAATTAATCATTTATGTGCAATGATAGCCCCTTATCTGTTTTACAGTGTGTCATTTCTTAAAAGCCGAACCCGGGACAAGGACTGCAAACTAGCCTCGGGACAAGAAGCCCTATATCTATCTGCATTGGTTACACTTTAATTAGACGTTACAGTGCGACAAATAAACTGATACATAAATAATAACATACATAGCTATTCTCGTGTGCACTGTATTTCTCTTTAATGTGCAATACTCATGCATCACCTGCATCTCTTCAACTGAAACTACTTGATTATTTATGCACCGTGTACTTTTTCTTCTCTGTTCATTCTCTGGATGTGTGGAGGGACTTCTCCCTGCTCCCTGGCCTTTACTGACCTCGTCCACATTGCTTAACTGTGCCCAATATTTCTCGAGAACGACAATGATCTTTATTAAAAGCAACATGAGACATTCTAACATACCAGAAAGAATACCAGGAGATGACAGGTACCTCCTGAGAATATTTACAGTAGCAGCAAAAAAACAAAGTTGATCGCCCTTAAATGGTTACAGACTTATTCCCCCAAACGTTAGATAAACTGGCTTTAAATCATTCAAGAGATTCACGAGGTGGAAAGACTTTGTTTTTAAGAGTAAAAAAGGACACACATTGCGATATGGTCAAAATAGAAACAATATTTGACAGAATATAAAAAAGGTGCTGGATGATTTGCCCCACTCATTCTAATAGACAGGACAGAGGACAGAGGACAGGGTCTGGCGCCCCATTGTAATTCAATTAAATGTTGTTTACCTCCCTTTCACTATTTCTGACTGCCATGTGTATTAACAAATGCTGGGGCGCCGGTAGCCTAGTGCTTAGTGTGCGCACCCCATGTACAGAGGCTGTAGTCCTTAAAAGTGGGCGGCCCAGGTTGAAGTCCGACTTTGTAAGACTCTAGCCACTGCCCTGTCTCTAAAGTAAAGGCATGAAAAGCCCCAAAATATACCATAAAAAAGAAAAGAAAATCTGCATGAAGACCCCCTGGGATTGATGTTGGGTTATGACCTGACAATTGAACATGCCAGTGTTGCTGCTGTTGTTTATTGAAAGAAATTAAAACAATTTTAAGTGTTATAAATATTTGAAGAGAATAGATTGAAATCCTCATAATTTAAGCAGCCTTACCCGCTAAACAAACCGCAGAGCGGAGCCGATTCTGCCCCTCTGATCAAACCCAAACCAGGAGCAGAGAGATCCTGTGAGGGGGCACAAACAGGAGTCTGATTCAAACCATGAGATGAAGCAGAAGATAAACTCACGTCCTGTATGGAAGAGATTTGCCAGTCTGGTGAGTAATCAAAACTCTCATGTCGGCCCAAGTGAAAACATGAGGTGGGTGTATCTCTGAGGTTTCATGTTGGAGACAATTAGTATCACAATTAGTCAGGTTCACAGGGTAATACTGAGTAATCATAGTAAAGAGCTGAAGCCAATGAGATCCACTGCTGTACTCAGGGACACCGATGAAGTGCTGAATGTAAGAATAACTACTCTAAAACTAACGCTAGGATGAGGATATTTGTCTACAGCTGAAAAACAAAGTGACAAGGTTGTCCTCGCACAGAAAGTCGACACAAACGCCTCCTGAATTTTTCTCTTTGTCACAACCAGATCTGATCCATCAAGGTCTTTTTCTCGCAGACGGGGACTATTAAATCCATCACGGGCACACTGTGAGCCAAAGTGAAAACGCTTGTCCCCACACACAAAGCTTTTCTTTCATGAGGCTCAATGTAGCAGAGACAATCACTCCCATGATTCCTCAGTGAAATTGCCTATTCATATCAAAAGTGAATTAAATGAAAGAATGACAGAAACACAGACTTCCATTTTGACCTTTTTTTAATGAACCCTGATTATTGTTTAATTACAAATGAAGATGAACAGATAGAAGAGAAACAGAAGTACAGGCGGTTCCTCCATGATAAAAACAAAAAGTCTCCGCCCCTCCTCTGGAGTGACAGCTCACCGTCGAGGCGGACGAGAGAGGAGAGACAGAGAGAGAACATTACAAATAATACATGGTTAAACAGTACAAAGCTCTTTTTTCTTACACAATCCTCCAAAAATTGAAAAAAATAAAATATATACACAACATCAAAAAATGAAAACAAATGTTTCTTCCCCTGCTGTATATCATGCGGGGATTACGTGACCCTCCTCTTTAACACGGTTATAAAATCAGCGTGAGTACAAAAGAAAAAGAAAAGACTGCACTGGAGCCAACTGGTTGAAGTTCATGGGAAAGAGTGCAAAGTGGAACAAAAAACTCACAGAAAAACCAGTCGTTCATGAAGAAGAGAGCGGGCCGCAGCGAGAGGGTACAAAAGAATCAAAAAGTTAATAATATAATAATTACAAGAGTAACAGTAATATGTCTGAAAAGTAGAGGAGAAAAGGATCAGAACTAAGTCAAAGGCTGAGATGTCAACCCAACGGGGAAACAGTTATTCTCTTGTTATAGTAACACCACAGGTAAGGCAGCGCAGGTGTAACGTTCAGGTACACGTGGTGGATGTTTTCCTCTCTATGATTTGTGTCCTTTAAGTTTCCTCGAGTGTTTTTCACCAGGCTCTGTATGCAACCTCCGCTGACACTGGATGACTGATATAAGAAGCGGAAGGAAGAAGCCAATCACAAGAACAGATTTTAGAAAGTTGGTTTAAAAAAAAAAAAAAAGAACCTTTTCAAAACGACTGTGTGTGTTTAATCCACACACAAGACTGGAGCTGGTCTGACGACTAATTTGGGACTTTGCAACCGAGGCAGGGACTTTAGACTATCTGGCACAAAGTGTATTCAATAATTGTGCATGTGTCGAAGGCTGTAACCATAGAAACCACACACTCGCGCACACACACGCAGCTCAAAATGATCGAGTCAGATTATGGGAAGTCCCTCTTTCTCCACAGAGGTTTGTGATGTCATTTCCTCTGTGTGTGAGAGTATGTGTTCTGTGTAATTGTGTGTTTAATAGTGTGTGTGTGTATGTGTGTGGAAATGTGTTTCTAATAGTGTATGTGCGTAGTCTCCATGGTTTGCCGTCTACTCCGGAGAGACTGTGGGGGCGTGTGATGTCATGTTTCCCTTTATTCTAGCCACAGTAAAGCCTCACTCTAACCAGGATGGTGTGTGTGTGTGTGTGTGTGTGTGTGTGTGTGTGTGTGTGTGTGTGTGTGTGTGTGTAGGGTTAAGGCAAGCCCATATGCACTCTGATCACACAGAGTTGGAGCTGAGTGCAGAGTCCACTCTCAATCTAAAGTCCAGTCATATCAGGAGAATCTGAGTCGTCCAATCAGAATCAGTCTGCTCTGAACACACACGAGACCGGTCCCGTTACATCCTGCGCCTCCACCGGTTTTTTTTAAGCACGTGTGGGTGAAACTGTTGCAGACGGGTGGGGTTATTTCACTGACAAAAAGTGTAATTCACCTGTGACTGTGTAAACCCCGCCCAGCTGTGACTCTAGGTACGCTTAGACAAACACACCTACTGACAAAGTTAGGATGACTTGACCCGGGTCTGTTGTTGGTGGTTTTTTTTTTAAATCCCCTGAATGCACAATAACTGTTGTTTTATCTTAACAATATAAATATAAAACTCTGACACTGGTGGGCTTTTGTGGCTGCAGCTCAACGGTCGAGAGAAGGCAAGGGTGAGAAGGCAAAGGCTGAATTATACTGGTATTAATAATAATATGCCCGTTAGAATATATACACATCTTTACCGTTAAAAATAGCAGGAGTCTCCTCGGATTTGTATCAAATGACCATATTGAAATATAATATTTGAATTCAATATATATTTGAATAAAATATATATGTGTAGATTTACTTTTTTTCTCTCTCTCTCTTTTACAAAAAGATGAAGGCATGTCGGTTGTGTGTTGGTGTCAAACATTTTGCTGGGGCTGTTTCATAAAACTCAGGTTGGCTTAGAAAAAGGCACAATTTTATATTTTCTTTGTTCGTTAAAATGGGCTTTTTTCCTCTCTAGTTGAACAGATTTAATAAAACATTGTAGTAAAAATAAGTCGTTTATCGATATCTCAGTGACGGCTTGCCTGAGTTAACCTTGATGCTCGACATTCGTTACACGCTCCCCTAAACAGTCAACCACTCGTTTCTTCCTTGAAACATCACATGGACAGATTATAAGTCCTCAGATCACTGCAAATGCCCCCAAAAAAAGAAAATACTGTCCGAGTCTGTACGAGGCACGAGCATCAAAAAGAACAAGATGAAATAAACAGGGGGAATGAAGAGAGCGGTTGATCTGTTTGTTCGAGGGAGAAAAAACACAACGGTTACCGGTACCCCTCCAAAGATTGTGCGAAGTCGAGCAGGGACACTCTCTGCATCCTCGAGGCTTTGGGTCCCCACACACACACACGCGCGCACACACGCGCACACACACACACACACATCCAGAGACAAGTGTGTGTAATTACAGCCTTACGAGAAGCTGCTTCCTCACTTCCTCTGCAAGTGATGAGAAAAGGAGCAAAATAATCCGGCACTTTCCTCGGAGGGCCAGCTGTTTGTTTTTCTTTTTCCTCTTCTGTACATTTAAAACCAAGTGACATTCTCCGGCTATCAAACGTCTCTGAATGCCGCGTGAGAGGTCAGAGTTCATCTTGATGACTTGGTTGGACTGTTCTCAGGATCCCACCCTCGTTCAAAGTCTTTTTTACACTGTAGTGATGAGCTGAGGATGAAGCCGTCTCGTGGTGTCCGAGCTGCTTCCGGGAGAAAAGACTGATTGGAGGGTTCTTTCTAATCACCTCTTGAAAGGGAAAAAGATTATTCCTCTTCATCTCTTTAAGATCCATCGGAGCATTTCATTCCCTCTCACTGCCCTCCATCTTTTAAGTGACTGCATGCTGATGGGTGCAGACAGAGAGGCACTTCTGTAATCTCTATCAGGGCTGGTAAAAGTGTTTCTTAGTAACGTTAGGATCTGTCTGTTAAGTGTGAGTACAGATGAGGAAAATAATGGAGGGGGGGGAAGAGGAGGAGGACGGCTCACTAACTTCAAGTGGGCCAGATGTGGGGGTGGAAATTAATCAAATCCACCGCTGTACAAGTGAGACCGAGTTTTTACTCTTAAGGGGATTTGTTTAACTGCGTCAGATGAACAAATAGAACCTCTAAAGATGCAAGCGGAGACACAGGTGTGAGTTTTATGGCCTAACTGGAACGATGAGAGCAAGGAGGCGTTCAGAAGGCCCTTCCTAAAAGATTTGAAGAACTCATTCCTTTAGTTTGAGTCTAATGTAAATACACAGGTTCTCTGCTGCAGCTTTTGGTATCTTTTGTTGCAGTGGAACAGAGGCTACATAAGCACACATGTTTTTATAGTTTTATATTGACCATCATGTCCAGTGACTTCTTGAAGACCACCAGAAAAAAGGAGTTCAGGCTGTGAAAACACCTTCATATTGTTCATTACTATCTCTTGAATATGTAGATGTATGTTGGGAACAGATTGAGATTTCTGTTATTTAAGAAGTTCACGGTTTCCACCTAGAAAGTTTACCCCACCAGGCCTAAGCTCCTGGTATTTTTGTTTGTTTGTATTAAAATGTTTGAAAACTACAGTTACTAAGTAAGAAACATATGTTTAATGGTAACAGAGACTGCTGGTTAAAAGCTGAATGAGCTTAAGGAAACCTTAAAGTCTGATCACTGATCTTTACTCTTATTATAACCTGTGAAACTGCTGGGGCTGGAAGATCAGTAAAAAGTGCCCAAAACCTTCCAACGATACATCATCATGTTCAGATAAACACTAAAGAACAATGAATTATATTTTCATTATCACTCAATGTCGCTTTTTCAGACGAGAACATGTTCTGTTTACGTTTGCTGGACTAGGAGCCACAAGGCATTATGGTCTATGTAAATCTATGAAGTGTTTGTGTAAGATTCAGAGAGCTGTGTTTGTGTCTCGGTTTCATCCTCCCCTGTATGTGCGCGTGAAGCTCAGCAGCCCGTGTTTTCCAGAGACAGCTGCGCTGTAGCTCTCTGCAGCTCTGAGCTCGCTCTGCGCTGGGTGGGAGGGGGCGGTAGCATCAACCCCAAAATAACACCTCCTCCTCGTCCTCCCCCGTTCTCCATCTCCCCCCCTCTCCTGCCTACCTCCTCTCTCTTCCCCTCCACCACCTCCTCTCCGTCAGCCCTCACTTTCTTGTCCTCCGCCTCGTCCCTCTCTCCGTCAGCCTCCATCTTCTGGTCCTCGCTCCAGCGGCGTTTGAAGCGAAGTTTGAGCGGGATGCAACGCGTGCCTCCGGGGCTGATGGGAGATGCCTGGCCCGGCTCGCTCTTCAGGGCGAGCAGAGGGAAGGCGAGGCCGCTGCTGCCGATAGGAGTTGCGGGAGTCTTGAAGACCTCCTCGTCATCGTCAGGGTCTTCCTCAGGGCTGGTTTGTGGAGGGGCAGAGAGCCTGATCCTGTTTCCGTGAGCTCGGTGATGGTTGTTGAGCTGATGATGATTGTGACGAGCTGTCCGGGTGAAGATGTCCCCTTCATCATCATCAATGTGATTGAGCTCCTCCTCCTCGCTGATGTCGGTCACCTCCACCTCTTCTTCTGACTCAATATCTGATATGGGCTCCACCTGGAGAGAAGGAACATTTTACAACATGAATATTTATACAACTCTCTGACTGGATGTTCTTTAAATGTTTGAGGGTCAATTATGATACAAAACTAATTCTACATTTTCCAGTTTGAGTCTGCAGTCTCACCTTAATCTTTGGAGGCCCTGCGTTGTTTTAAATGAGCAGACCCTATGAACGGGGATGACTGGCTGGAGGAGGAGGATGAAGAAGCAGCCAATGAGCTCCCTGAATCTCTCTGTTTGCGCCCCAATGGAGGCGGCTGCAGCTTGAACTTGAATGGTGACGGGTGCTGCTGCTGCCCCTCCTCTCCGCCTCCTTGCTGCTGACTCAGCGGATGTAAGAGCGGCAGGGGTGGGCCGTGGAGGTGATGGGCCGCCGACTTTTCCAGGGACGGGCGGTGGGGCTGAGGGATGACGATGTTGGGGTAGTGGAGGAAGGCTCGGGGGCTGAGGTGGTAGTTGTAGACGGACTGGGTGTGAGCCTGCAGGTAGTGCTTCATGTCCTCCGGGTTGAAGGAGAAATGGGAGCCCAACATAGGGGAGGACATGGAGGGGGATGGGGTGTAGGCAAGGTGGGGGGTGGGGGTCATGGATAGGGCTGGGGAAAGAGTTGGGGCCAGGAGACCTCCAGGGCCAGGCAGGGGGGACACAGGGAATGGAGACATAGGATCTTGGTGGACTCTGTGGGAAGGTCTGGCGAGCCCAGCAGGATTGTGGGCCCCGCCGTAGACCCTGAAGAGAGAATCATGAGGCAGACGGGGAGGCAGAAGGCCCCTGAAGCCCCTATCTGGCCCCACGCCTCGCTCTTCAGCTCCCACAGCCTCCTCCAGCTCAGAGTTGGTGGAGGTGCCGTCGCTGCAGTCGCTCACAGAGCCGCGGGCCATACGGCGAGCCACGCTGCTGAACATGCCGGGGCTGCGCAGCTCCTCGCTGGAGGAGAGGATGTCAGAGGGCGTGGAGGGGGGGAAACGGAAGTGAGAGCCTCCTGTTGGTACCGGAGGGGGCACTCTGAGGGACTCCTCGACCTGTGAGACACAAGGAGGTGAGAAGTTTTAAAAACTAACAGACGAATGAGAACAAGAATCAAACTAGTACAAGGTCTAAAAACCTATCTCCTAAAAAAATATATTTAAAGGTATATCATGAAATTCTGTTATTGTTTTGACTCAGTCAACATTCATTTTTATTAAAACTGTTTCTGTTGTGTTCTTTTTTCCCTTCACATACAACGCCACTGAATCGCTCCGCCTCACAGGAGGAGGTTCGTCAATAGGCGTGGAGGTGTTTCTCTGCAGTGGAAATTACAGCACAGTTCGGAAAAATTTACTTTGAAGAGGATGTTTGGAAAATGATGCCAGAAGGCTAGATAGAGCTCAGAAGTATGCATGCTACATCTAAATATTAGATAACTTGTTTATTAAGTTGTTTAACTTGGACAAAAACTGCCAAATTGGACAGAAAATGGATTCGCTTTGAATAGATGCTCATTTATCTTTACAGACGCTAAGTAGAAACCCCTCCAGACTGAGACTTTGTATTAATCCACATGAAGCTACAAGCTTTGAGGTGATGTTATGACTCCGGCTCTCTGTGAACTCAAACAAACAGATTAGAGATTCCTCTATATCTCTCATTGTGTCTATATACAAGGTTTGTTTTGGTTGGTTAAATATCAGTTTCTGAGATATACAAGTTTTTATTTTGTATCGAGCCAGTTCTTTAAAAAAACAAACAAACATCAACAGTGTGTTCAGGGGATGATTGAAATCTGTGTTTTTAGAAAGAGGTGCTACTGTTTAGAGCTGTGGATCAGTGGAAGGTCGGGGGTTCGATACCCAGCTTCTGCAGCCACAAGTCTGATGTGTCCTTGGGCAAGACATTTAAGTAACTCCTGCTGCTACGTCGGCAGCATATATGGATTAGTTTCTTCTGATGGACTCTTTACACAGCAGCCTCTACCATCAGTGTGTGAATGTGTAGGTGTGACCTGCAGTGTAAAAGCGCTTTGAGTAGTCAGAAGACTAGAACATTTCTTTTAAAGCTTAGTTCTTCAGAGAAGAAACTCTGATAACTAACTGAGAACCAACTATGTGCTGGCATAAAAAACTCAAGTGCCAAGTAAGAAATGTGTTTTTGTATTTTTGCACAGACAAGCGTTTTAAACTGGAGAGAAAGGGGAAAAGTAACTAAAGAGGGTCGGTCACATGTCTCTCATAACTCCAACTATTTTACCCAGAGGGTCACAGGCCCTCAGAAAGAAAACACTCGGTTACACAAAGCCACAAATTCCCCCTCGTTCAGCCCCTCCTCTCCCTCGCTCTCCTGCCAGGGAGACTGTGGCACTGCAATAAATTCTTGGCATCCACGCACGTGCCAGAATTAAATATTGGAAAAGTCGCTCTTACTGCCATCACAAACATGGGTTGGGTTCCTCTGTTTTTTTCCAGTGTGTCTTTGTGTGTGTGTGTGTGTGTGTGGGTCTCTCTGTTAAAAAAAAAAAAAAAAAGCACACATCTAACGGCCATGTGTGTCGGAGAGGATGAGGGGAAAGTGTGTGTTTGTGAGGGTTTCGGCTTGTGCATCAATCCAGATTGACTTAAGTTTGTCTGTGTGTTAATGTGTATGTGTGTGTGTGTGTGTAACCATCGTATCACAACATGTGTGGGCCACATCACACGCAGGCTATAATTAAAGTTTTGTGCTGCACTTCTGTCACCCAGTACCCGACACTCCATATGGGCTGTGTTTGCACTGGGTGGCCGGGACCAGAACCAGAGACGACTTGAGGGATGGGAGGAGAGGGATAATCGGGGACGTGGAACAATAACGTCTTAAAAAACACACAAAAGCACAAAGCGCTATACCCAGGAACATAATGCGCACACACTACACCCAAGATTCCGTCTACTGCGACTACGATGGCTTCTTATTGAGGTTGGTTGACTAAATTTGGCCTGAAATCCAGGACATGAACGTGATTGAGTTATACTGAAGTCAGTTCTTAGATTATGACCAGGGCTGGGACACAAAACTGACCCGAGACTTCACTTTTAAAGATTATCCTGAGAGGTCAGACACATATGAAATCTTAGGATCTGTCCTTAAAAGCTTCTCAGACGACTGGAGTAAAATATCAGCTCATGATTGGCTCCCTTAGCGTTCAGTGTATTATGATGATACTTTTCAATGTGTTTTAAAATAATATAATCTCTGTTTTTAAAATGTCTGAAAGTACCAAAAGAGCTCGCAAAACTGAAGATGTAACTTAGCTCAGCCGTCATCGCGTCTTTGGGGAAGATATTGCGGCTTGAAATGACAGCCTAAACAGGGCTTTTCTCTGTCTCAAATCTTACAGCCCCTGAAAGAGTTCTTGCTACATATCCCTGTATTCGCTTCGTTAACAATCATCTTCAGGCACCAAAGAAATGAGCACTGAAAATGTCCTACTTTCAAAAATCCGATGAGACCTGAGAAAGTGCTGCTCTGAAACATCGAAACAACTCGTATAAACAGATACATCACAGGACACTTGAGGTTTATGACTTATAACATCAGTGTGAACGTGTGCGTACCGGTGCCCATGTCGATGAAGGGGTAGTTAACCAGCACGAGTTTGTTGAAGTTGAACTTGTAGGTGAATCTCTTCCCTTTGGTCTTGTGCAGGATCCTCTTGTTGTAGTAGTATCTGAAACGAGAAAGACAGACACAGTGTTATCTACCAGTGAGTAAAACACATCATCGACAACATGTGGTAAATCTCAGATTATGACCACAGCTTGATTTCGCCAAATGTAAAAAAACAAACAAACTGTGAAATCATGATTAACCACCGCTTCTAGTATTAAGCACATTTTTCCAGCTGACTCACAGCTTTGAAGCGGCGCTGTAATAATTCAAACTGCTACCAAAATTATCAACAAATCACTGCAGTCATTATTCTCTCATAGACCTGTTTGATCCCCGCAAGCGGACAATTAATAAAACTCAGTGGCTCGATTGGTAACAGAGTTTAGGGTTACACATAAGCCGGCCATAAGTGGCCGAAAATTCTGATACTTTGATTCTTTTTGGTACTACTTCACGTCAAAACGATTCAATCTACCGGTACATTATTTTAATATTCAAAAGTATAAAATTATTTTTAAAAACCTACAGACCTTCAGTTATATTTTGAACTAAAAGCTGCTGTGAGAAAAAGAGAGAGAGAGCACTGTCTGTGTTCAAATAACTGCAATTTAAACAGAGTGCAGGAACCGGCCTGCTTTTTAGGTACTAAAAAACAAGAAAGAAAAACAAATATTGGGAGCCTAGGACTTGTCTGCTAGTGGCACACCTTTGTTGGTGGGTGTATTATTTAATTAATCTTCCATTTCATTGTTTCCATTCAGAGAAAAGAAGAGTGTAAGATGCCTCAAATTAAGATAACATTGAAAGCAAAAGACAATCCAGATCTAGGACACACCTGTTGCTGCTTTGTTCTTTTAGTCAGACCATTAGTCATGACCCTGATCAACCTGTTGGCTTAAGTGTTGATTAGTTTTCATTTGCAGCTCAGTGGGTTTGTCTCTCTGGAGTAAGAGAACAAGAACAAAACTCTGAACCTTTCTTTGTAAAGGTTTATTTTGGGGATTTTTATGCTTTTATTTAAAGAGATAGGACAGAGGGTCAGAAACCGGAGAGCGAGAGAGATAGGGAGAAAGTAGGGAATGACATGCAGGTAAGAAGCCACAGGTCGGATGTGAACGGGCCACCTGCCTGGAGGACTACAGCCTCCTGACAGAGGCCTGCACTAACCACTACACTACTGGCGCCTCCCAAAACTCAGAACTTTTTGAAAGGAAAACTCTTGAAGCGAAATTTGACATCAAGTGTTGTGAACCTGCAAAATATTCCTTAATCTCTTCAAAACATGCTGACAGTTTTATTTGAACTGTTACTAATAATTGCTGCACGTTGTCAGAGTTTATGATAAAATAGGAAATGAAACATCAGACGCGATAAGAAAGCCTTCACTGTAAATCTACATTAGCAAACAATTAAACATCCTGCACCCAATCTGGACACACGGTTACATTCAAACTGGCTGTGTGATTACTTAAGGATGTGAGCGAGCCGCTCTGATTGAGGCTTACACAGGCGGCTACATTAGTTAGAGTGCATTAGTCATCGTCGACACACACAGAGCGATGTAGAGGAGTGAATAGTGAGCCGCTGACAGCTCATCTAAAAAGATAAAATGGCTCCCTGTGACTCACCAATAGCCTCAGGACAAAACCACATTCATATTTTGTTACATAAAAACTTCTATGTCAGAGTTTCTCATTCAGCTGAGACCGGCCACCTCATTCTGGAGATGTAAAATGTTATTCATTGTTTCCAGGAGAATCAAGCTGAGGGGAGCTCAGGTGAAGATTCTGATCGTAAACATACAGATTTTCTGGAACATGAAGTAGTTAACATGTCTCCAACTGTTAGGCCCCCGTGTCCACCTAGTGTTTTTTTCTACCCTTTACCCTTTTTGCAATTGTTTTCAATGACGAGAGACAGTCACAGCAGAAAGCAGCCGTCTGTAAAAACGCAGCGGCAGTCGTTTTTTTCTTCTGAGCGCTCTGACTTTTTCGTGTGCCCGCATGAGCGTTTAAGTTGAATATCTTTCAACTTTTCAGAAAGGCGCTGTTGACGTCAACTGCACTCTTTTCGAAATATGACATTCCCTGTATTTTTGCCACATCGTCTTTGCTCCGTGTCTCATCCGGAAATAAATTATCTCAAATATAAAACATGCAGTAAAAAGTAAGGGAGCAATGTCGGTCATACAGCAACTGTTGTCATAGAGACAGGACGGTCGGACATGCATTGCTTTTCTTCTCAGCGCACAAATGCTTCATGCAAGAGCTTGGGGCCTTAGTAAGCAGAATATATAAATATGCATATGTATAGACAGGAAGCTTTGACAACTTCTGTTTGACATATCCATCCTCTGATCCATTTTCTTGAATCCATCCATCTAACAGGATTTATTTCTGTCCACATATGTAACATTAATGATATAACACACATGCTGGGAGGTGATTAATGTCCACACAAACCCGATATTCCGACATTAAATTCACACACGTACATTTTTTAAAAATCGTTTCAGCCCTAGAACATCTTCGACACATAAACAAGATACGATTCTTTCAGTGCAGGAAAATATTGTCTGGTAAAGTGAGTCACAGCAGCAGTAGTGACAGTTGAAAAAACACAATAATGGTGAATGTAATATTTGTCACAATGACGGGAGCTGTGCCCAGCTGTTCTCTGCCTCAGTGTGATCGCAGGATTAGTCACTGGTGTTTGGTTCAATAGAGAACAATGCAGAGCGGTAGTGAGTGAACCAGGAGCCTCATCCAGCCCCTTAATGACTCAATGAGTGAAGGGCCTCTTCTGATGGAGATGAATACTACGCACGCCCGCCCACACTGTCACGTGGACTATGGGCACACACAAACAGGAACACACACAAAGGAGCAGGCAGATGAACAACATGCAGCAGAGCTCAAACACACACAATGCACGCAGGAAACATGGAAGTCATGACTAAACTACTGAGCTTCAACAGGAGATTAGACATTTCCAGGTGCTAACAGTGATCATGCAGCAGTGATCAGATCATTCAACTTTACAAACAACCTGGTGCCTTGTTTTAACGCAGCTACAATTCAATTCTACAATTCAAATCAGACGCTTTTATCCAAAAAGAGACAAACATAGGAGTACGAAAAATGCAAGCAAGGATCTAGAGGAGGAAACAACATCAGGAAGTGCAAACAAACAGCTTTACGCCTGACCGGACACACAGGTGCTGACAGGAAGTGACCAGTAGCAGAGCACAACATCGACAGCAGAGAGTTCTAATCAGCATCAAAACCTTCCTAAATATCGTCATCATCAATATCAAACAAAACCATAATCATCATCGATAACACTTCAGCCTCAAAGTCCAGTTTGTTTGACGTCCTCACCTTAAAAACATCACTGAAGATCTAAAGTTTTTTATTTAAAGCTTTGGTAATTTTTGATACGACTGATCGTTAAAATAACTACGATTGTGTCTTTTTAATCCTGGTGGTGGTGTCGAAAAGTATCAAAATTTATCGCAAAAGATGCAGCATATTAAAGTGAGGGTGAAAATAAGGAGGACATGTTTATTATCCACGCACATCGACAGCATTGATGAGCAGGTGTTAACATTATCTGGCCCGTGCAGTAAAAGCTGGAGGGACATAATGTTCACAGCCGGGTGGAAAGATGGATGACACTGTGAATGAGTCGGGCAAAAGGCACATACATGTGAAATATACAAACACACACACACACGCGCACACACACACACACAGTATTGAGTCAATGTGGAGCACAGCCTGTCTCACATACTGGGCCCAGGCTTGCTTCAGGCCTCCTGCTCTTTGAAGACCATTTGAACTTCCTTCAAATAAACTAGAAAGGACTTTGACTGTATAGACTCGACCTCTTATGTATTTAACACACGCAGATAGATGTGTGTGTCTCTAAACACACACACGTGTACCACTGCACTTCAAAGACGCAGAGAAGCATCAATCAAAGACTTCACACATGACGGAGAGAGAACCTCCATCTAAAGAGTTCAGAATTAATTAGCAGCTTTTCGTTTATATGAAAGGTTTACAAAGCACAAAAAAAAAGACGTCTGGCTCCGGCTGAACTAAGATGTGAAACACTAACTGAGACTAAGAAGAAGAAACACGTCCTGCATTAACCTGGTCGGTAAATTACTGCGACACCTCTGTGTGGATTTATACATCATAAGAAAAATACAGCTGTTAACGAGCAAAGCATGAAGTGGAGAACTTATTTCTGTGCATTAGAGACTGATTATATATATATGCTTCATTAAACTACAGATTGTGGCAACAGTATGCACATCTGAATCGTTGAGTACTGGCTGCCAGAGTCTTTCATCAGACATGAAGGGTGAGGGCCCCGAAGTGTCACATGTGGTGATACATTTCATTAAATGTAATTTGAGCAGCTTCTGGTGTGTGGACTCAGTTAAAGCAACAACATGTAACTTTTCCACCTTAAAAAATAGAACTTTCAAAGTTGATCTAATAGTACAATCACTTCAAACAGTGAGAATGGGGTCCATCTCATCTCCATAGAGCGCCCCCGGTTGCTTGTGTATAACACTGTGTAACTTCGGAAGTGAGTCAAGATTCTGCTTGCAGCTTTGCCAAAGTCTCTGTGCTGTTCATTCAGCATCAATACATCTCATGACACTTATCAAAGCCGGTTTATTTTTAAATAATTTTATATCTTTGTCATGGATTTTTATCTGCTTATGTTTGTTTTAAGTCTCTGGGAACAAAAAGTAGAAGCCCCTTTAAATTAATCTTATACAAAGCCATGTGGGAGAACCGCTCGTTGCTTAAAAATCAGGCAACGTTAGCGCCATCAAGGTGATTTAAATATTTGCTGTCAGCTTCTTAAAAATGACACTGTGGACAGGTAAAGGTGGTGCATTGCTAAATAACAGGGAATTAAATGCATCTTTCAGCTACACTTTATAGAATCAAGGTTATTGTGTGCACAGACAAATGTCTTGGATGATCACTTCAACTTGATGAAACTGGTCAAAGTGTTGCATTTATATTTTGTTCAGTTTACATTCCATCTGTTGCACAGTTCGTCCTTATGTAACGATGTTAAGTCTGCGTTGTCCGTGATAAATGAAGCGTATAAATAAAACTACAGTAATATATTACATAAGCATCATATATAACTCGGGAGTACAGGCTCTCATTCTGATCAATAAATGTGATATCACACTTATTCCCATACAGGTTCAGATGAGGTTTGTGTCTTTAAATATGCAGTAAGAGACAAGAAAAGCTTTTAGCAACAAACAAGACACAGATGGGCTGGAGGAGGGCTGACATATAACAAGGTGTTAAGTGTACGTGTGTGCGTGTGTGCGCGTGTGTGTGTGTGTGTGTGTGTGTGTGTGTGTGTGTGTGTGTGTGTGTGTGTGTGATGAGGCTATGTAACTAGTCATCACCATGGCAAACTATAACCCACACCAACCTACAACACAGGAGGCGACACTGATGGCTAGCAGTGTGTTTGTGTGTACATGATTATGAGAGAACAGACTGGCAGCTAAATAAAACTCTGCAGCATCCCACATGTGCTCTGTGCACGCTCAAGGTGTTTGTTTCTATATCTGCTGTCACCCTGGAGTATAAGCACGCAGCGCAGATGCACAACTCACGACAGAACAACAACAACAATTATTCTCGCCTTTCACATCCAACTTCTTTGCATCTGATTTCCAATTAATCTCTTAAGCAGTCTGCAGAGGTCACTCCTCATGACAGTCTACCTGCTTTGCTGCTATCTGGACAGAGCGCCTAAGACAGCTCAGACAAACTCTTCAACCTTACAAAAGATGATTGAGATGCAAGAGCATGCCTGAGCTCCAGCAGAACTCTCATAACTTTAATTAGATGCTGCTAAAACGCCTTGAAAAGTAATTTGATGTTCTGCATTACAAAGGAGGACAGGGATGCACATGAAGGTACCCGTCAATGTTTACAATAATGCAAATGTTGGAAATAAAGCTCAAGTGTCTGGAAATGTTTCCATGGTCTTAAAATCATTATTCGACGAAGAAACTTAAAAAACCCCCCCAAAAAACGATGCCCTTAATCTACAGCGTCTGTTTCAGGTTAACAGTCTGCTTGTCTGAGCTCTGTAACTCAACAGTGTCTAAATAGAGAGTGTGGGTCATGGCAAAGGAAAAACATCTATCATCACTTTTTCTCTCCTCAGTCTTTTCCTTTGCTTCCGTTCATGAAATGCCATTTGAGCTTGTTTTTACACCTTGCAAAGTGCAGAGAAACAAAACAGCAGTAAGGAAAGAGAACAGGCAGAGATGTTTTTGTTCAACTTCTGGTATGTGTGAATGTTTTTCGTGAATGTACACACTGTTATCTCATCCCTTACAACTTATATTTATTATGAAATCAATATTGCATGCTTAACTGACTTCATCCTGGTTCATCTGGAGTTCAAAGCAACATGACACCTGTTCCTGTAATTCTAGATTTATCCAGCAAGGCTCTTAGCTCGGAAACTGACTGCTGAGGGGTTGATACTCGTCAGGAACAAACGACCTCAATATATAAAGGTAAATATTGGTAACGGTTAAGACAAGTCTTACTAAGATGGTATTACCAAAAGGTGTCTTGTAGGTGTTATGATTCCTTCCTAAAATAACTGCTGATCCTGAATTGTTTACATTGATGTTTATCTGCAACAGGTTTTTTTTTTTTCCTGCCTTCGTTGCTACATTTTGGCCTTCCTCTGCACACCGAGCACATGGAGAACAGAGGTGTAGATCTGTTCATCGTCTGCATGCAACTATGTTTCCCAGTTTATTGTCAAGTCTGCACGGAGGATGACAAAATGTACATCCCTTGCAGCCTGCTGACCACATGAATTTTTAAAGTACAATTTAGGCCTAAGTGTGGGGATGTTATAATTGTTGTCTTTCAGTACTTTCTCCCACTGAATTCTCACCTTAGTGCTCGGCTGAGCTTGTCATAGTTCATCTGGGGTTTACACTTCCTGGCCCCCCACAGGCGGGCCACCTCGTCCGGGTCCTTGATGACAAACTCTCCATAGTCTCCCTGCCAGGCGATGACGTCGTGGTACTCCTCCTTCCTCAGCAGCTCCAGGATGAAGTGCCACAGCTGGATCTGTCTGGAGCCCGGGCTCGACTCTGGCTTGTATGCCCAATCCGGGAAGGCAAACCCTGAGGGGGGGAGCAGAGGGGAGAGGGTGTTTAACTCCATGATCAAGACCAAAGGGTAATAAAGAGACAGGATTGAAAAAAGGAAAAGGTGGGTTAAGTCCAGCTCTTTTATCCACTCAGGTCTTTTATTTGTCTACAAATATTGGTCCATTGCATGTGATAAACAATTGTCCTATTTGAGTGATCAATCATTTATGTTACTGCAGCTGTTCACTGCTGATAGCAGTAATGACTTCAGAGTCTATGCACATTTATGGTACTAAAACGAGTGTAATCTTTGCCTCTGGCTTCCATTTATTGGTTCTTGAAGGGTGTGCTTGGCAAAGTTGGCAACATTTGAGTTACCAAAGTAAATCGTGTGGTATAAAAAGTATTCAAGTATCAATCATTTTGACAACCTTAGGAGGGAATCAAACAAGAAGAAGTGGATTTGTAGAAGGATGAGACTGCTGGGAATCACAGAATCAAGGATGAAATATGTACGCTGAAATGTGTAACACATTTTGGTCTTAGGCTCCGCTGCGGAGTGAATCTCGAGTATTTCAGCGTAATCTGTTTCCAACAACCGCCGTCATATCAAAAGTCCACAGCTATCGCCTTCAAAGCCTGAAAATCAGCGTTGTTTAAACAGATTAACAGGCCTTCAGATATGTGCAGACAAAATATAAGCTGTGGTTTTATAACTACTATCAGAGCACACACCCGCAGAGGCGCGCACACTCACACATACACTATTATCCAACGGTTAAAAGTATAGGGTTTGAATTGTAAAGCAGTGGGTGGCAGTAAAAGACTCAACACCACTTCAACACAAGGCCATGTTGAAAGGCTGGATAGGAGAGGCGTAGTGACACACACTAACACACACTCTCACACACGCACCTCATTAGGACCAGATGTGCCTTGGAAATCAGGCTGAGAAAACTGAGGGTGGGAAACATATGGCCGCAATATAACAATGCTGAATTGTGTGTGTGTTTTTATAACTGTAAAGAAACACAACCATCCTAAATACCAAGGTTACAATCAGTTTCCCACACTCTCACATAGTCTGTCACATCTGCACAGCAGCGACAGTGAGCTGTTCACAGTGATATGGTCAAGGCGGACACTCCTGCGATGCCCGATCAACCATCTTGTAATAACAGAGTGTCCCATTATTGTGTTCATTTAAATAGTGACATGTTGCCTTGAAGTGTGAGTGGACTAAGAACATCTAAAGCCACTGTGTGTATCCCACTAATACGACATCTTAGAGACAGGGATGCAAACCAAGCAGTTTTAAGTAGTGATGCACCGATTGTGAATATCAGGGCCAATACCAAAATAGAGGTTTTAAAAAACAATTCAGGCCCCGAGTCGACTTAGCATTTTTTGTTTCTGAGCGCCAGCGTCTTTTTTCACTTGTTTTCAATGAGTGGAGAGTGGTTCCAGCAGCAGGCGGCCGTCTGGAGAAAAAGTGCAGTGCCCAGCGTCCTTGTTCTGAGTGCTCTGCCTTTTTTGTGCGAGCACTGTGAGATGAAATTCTGAGTTTTGCCCCCTACGGATCATATCTTGCACATCCTTTTTAGCCGTTTTCAAATGAGCTTTGAGATTGGACGTTTTTTTTTTTTTTAAATAGCTGAAAGAAGAAGACGTACCTGGCAACCCTAATCCCAGGGTAAAGCAAACATTAACTACATATGGTGCCCAGATGGTTATTAAAATCATTATGACCTTATTTAATTGCTTAAAAAATCCTCCTAATGTCTGGGACACAGTCAAGTGAAGGTAAAACGTACAAAGATCACATGTTGTACCAGAATCCAACATTTCAACACAGGGTCTTTACAGCTTTTTATAGTCAGACGTTCAGGAACACCTACAGGTTGTGTGTATTGCTTCAGTGTTTGTAACTCCTTCACAGTGGGTAAAGAGGAACATCTGGTGGAAACAGATCGTGCCAGTCTTTCTGTGAAGGTGAGTAGTCGACAAATCCAGAGTGAGTCATGACATTCCTGCCCACATGGGTGGTTCGCTCTCAAAGAAGGGAAACGGTAACACTCTCCCTGAATTGTCATAAACTGCTTCTACAAATAAAAAAAAGTTCTGCTGATATCAACAGAAACTCGATGATATGTTTGATCAAATTCAAAGGACAACGAGTGTTTCATTTACGGCCGGCCTTTACATGTGTTTCTCCTTATCCAGATAAAGATCACACTTTAATAGCAGGTGTAAACGGAGTCAAAATGAGTCATGGAAAAACTAATTAAGTCGAACATGATGAAACCAAAGTCCAATATCAGGTGTGCAGAGTGCAGCTGTGTGCCAGCCTGGCAAGAATCTAAAGTACAAGAAATAACACTGTCAGATGTAGCAATCGTGATTGGTGTAGTAGAAACACATAACTGACTACAAGAAGGAATATCTTCACACAACAAATAAATACACTTAAACACACGCAAAACATGCCACAAAAGTCACATAGACCCATTGAACTAAGCAACAGAAATAGTCCACATCTGTATTTTTGTAAACTGAAGAGTATCTTCAAAGACGTCATATCTCCAAAATCCATAGTTCAAAAGCCCTTGATTAACACACAATTTAAAGAGAGAGGAGATTTGATTCTGATTTAGGATGTGAATTGTGAGACAGCTGAATGAAGACAAACGTGCAGATGCATTGAAGTAGTACGGCTATTGCTACGTAAACATGTGTTGTCAACGCTTCAAAAGCTGAAAATCTCCTAAAGCATTAACATTGTGTCATATACTTATTGTACTACAATGCAGCATAAAGGGACCTGATACATGGAAGTCTTAGATCATGTTGCATAAAAATAAAAACAACTTTATGTAATATGCTTTTCATTTCAGATCAATTTCAACAGGATTATGCAATCAGTGATATCCTGCAGGCAATTTGATTGTGCCTGCTGGAAGCCTGTTATCAAAGGGTTAAGAAACAGGAAAAAAAAAATCCTAAAAAAAACAGACCGACTCCCAGTGACTAACTAACCACATGCTGCTATCTGATCTCCCATGGTGCTCAGAGAATGAGCCAAAAGACAGACAAGCTGCCTATGATGGCTGATAATAACTATTTGAAGGCAGATTACTAATGGGGTTCGAGCACATGATTCATTCAGCAGACAATGAGGCTCTTGTCGCCCGGGACAGGTTAGGCGTTGTGACACAGACACAACATGCTGCTGTATAATGGGGTACACTGCTGATTGCTGGAGAAAAACACACGTGAACATACTTGCGCGGATGCACGCTGACGCATGTAAAACACAGCGGGAGTGGATTGAATCAAAGTGGGCGAGCTAATATCTCTCGTACCCACACACACACCAAGTACACAGACACACAACACAGGTTAGTGGGGAGAGGTAAGTGGGTTCATGCGTGGGTGCACAGAGCACACAGACAAAGAACACAGGAATAGCAACCGTGCCCACTGCATGTGTTTGTGTGTGTGTTGCAGATGTCCCTGCTGACTCATAGCTTGTTCGTTCGTCGTTCACAGATTCCGCGTTTCTCCCCCTCAACACCACTGCCATCTCTTTCTTTTCTCTTCTCTTTCATTCTGTCCCTCCCTCGCTCAGCCTCTCCTAAGACACACCGTCTCCTAGCAACAAAAGCTTTTAGCGCTAAAAATAAATGTCGGAGTCACGACAGACAAGACAAAATATGATTCAATAACAGAAACTTGCCAAAAAGAGTTAAGAGTTTGGGCTCAGATCCAGAGAGCTGCAGTGTGAGGGTGTGATCTGTCTAAGGCTGCCTGGCCAGTGGAGACTTCTCGCTGCAGCTTCACTTTTTAAGTGTGTTTACAACTCGAAGGACACGATGCCCTGTCCTTAATGCTCTGGAAAAAGCAAGTTTCCACAAAAACCAAGAGTCTTAAATCTGTACATTGCATTTTGATCCCGAGGAAATACAATGACAGAAATTGTGACATTCTGCCCTATGCAAAAATGTTAGTCCAGTTGTAGTTGCTTTTCGTAGTTGACATAATGTGAGTAAAAAACCAGGAGATAATCATATACATAAGCTTAAGCTAATTGATTAGTAAGGAACCAACATTACTGAGCCACAATTTTACGATATGTTTACACTGTGAGCATGTACTGCTTCTGGCCGCCTTCTTTGCTCCAGAAGCCACAAGTTAACAGATTCCCTTCCAGCTAGAAAAAATAACCTTTAGTGAGGCACTAGCAATTTGTATTTCTTTTCTTTAGAGCTAAATCTTAAATCTCCAGCGTATACATGTGGAAACAGGCTTCCTTCATGAATAGATTTTTGTCCCTTGCCGGGTTACAGAGAAATGTATGTAAAATGTATAACGCGACCTCTCAACAAGTGAGGACAGAAGGTTTGGTTGATGTCTACCAAAGCGTTACATGACAAAGTCAAGATTGAATCATTGTGAAAAGCAGAAGCAGAGAAAGGTGACAGACATATTAAACAGTTTTTCGTTCTCTCTAATGTGTTGTTCATTTCTTACATCTGTTTTGTCATTTATGTGTCATGATGGATGTCAATCTTGCTGGCTGCAAACAAATCTACCTACAGGTAGAAGTAAAGTCACCTGAACCCGAGAAATGAGGGGCAGGGTAAGACTTTTAATGCGCAGGAAAACTCCAATGTTCAATGCTTACTGTTTGTGAAGTAAGCTTTTAGACAAGACTGTGGTAACACCCAGGTGCGCCATGATTTTATACCCGAATATGAGAAGCATGCCAACTGAACTTTACCCTAGTTTGTAGGAAATCTGATGTTTTCACAACACAGGCGACAAAGGAAGGCAATAAAGCAGAAGGGAAGACAAAATACTCATATAGGCTTTTTAATATTATTCACAAAAAGGGAAAACGACTACCCTGCAAAATTGGATAGGGCTCATAACTTTGCGATGGTGGAACACTTCATTGGAGAAGCACCTGTGGCCCATCTGAAAACATTTTTCATATGGGCATATACAAGAGTCTAATAATCTAATATGTGCTT